GAGCAGCGGCCACTCTTCGATTTCTGCAACCGGGTCTTGTCAGAGAGCCAGGCGACCTTTTTTCCTCGCTTGCTCTTAGGCAGCGGGACCCGCCCGCCCGCCGGGAACACTGGCCGCGTCGCGGGCTTTTTGCCTGTGAAAACGGAGCGCCGCGCGAGCTTTTTCGGCTCAAGTGTGGACGGCGGCCTCCTTTTCATTTTGCCCTTCGTTTTCGGTGCTAGCAGGATTTGGGTCCCCTGAAAAGAGAAGGGCTGTCCTCCTCCTCCCCACATCTGGAATAGCAACTCGCAGAAAGCTGCTGGGGTTTACTTAATGCTTGGCTTGCTTGCTCCTGAGCTGATGCGGCTTAAGCATTTTAAAAAGGGTCCAGTTGTTGGGTTGAACGGGAGAGAAAACCAGAGGGCAGGTTAGGGCAAGATAGAAGTTTCGGGAGTGGCCGTGGCGGCCTGAATGTCGGGCCAAGAAGCGAGGGAATACCGAGTCGTTACTTGGTCCCAGAAGTTTTCGCCTCTTACGCCTTATACACAATAACGATGGTGTGTTTTCAGGTCCATTCCAACCTTTTCGATGTTTCCTAGAAATAGAAATTGTTTGCCATTCCTGCGAGGCAGGCAGAGTGGGGAATTGAACTGTCAACCGTTGGTTCTGCAGCGGGGCACCCAACTCGCTGAGCCCCCTACGCCTTCTACGAGCCCCCCCCTTTCTTCCCAAGGTTGTCCAGTGGAGGTGATTGCAGCCAGGTCCCCGGACCTAAGTGTGAGCCGGGCTTGCTGTTTGCAAAGCGATCCTTCCCCCATTAACCACACTAACCTTACGCATCGTTGCTTAGAAGGGAGTGCCGTGGTGTTTCGGGTTTCCTTTCAGACAAATCTGTTTAGGATTGCTACTCTACAGTGTCACCCTAAGTTAGTCCCAGCTCGCCCACTCCCGGGCGTGTCTGTTTGGAATTGCAGGTCTCCTACGTGCCCGTTTTCTGCTACGCGGGGCTCAGGGAGGCTTCGCGGCTCGGGGTCTTGCCTGCGGCGAAAGAGCCCGTGGCCGACAAGGGAAAGGGAGCGGGTCGGCGAAGCGGGCTTTGACAGCTCCGGTCTGCCCGGCCTGGAGGGACGCAGGTGGGGGCTGTGTGGCGACCAGTCGGCCGTAAGTCCCCGCCGAAAATTGGCGGCCTCCTCTGAGACAGCCCGCCTGAGAGAAAGCAGCCGAGGGAATCCCCGGGAAGAGACGGCAGCTCCTTCTGACGTCTCTCTGCCAGCGGCGGGGATGGGAACGGGCGCAGCCCTCCTCTTTCGGGGGTGGGCTGTGCGCGTTCAGCGAACGGGGCTTTGCTGCCGAGTCCCCGTTCGGCGGCAGGCGCTGATTCTGGTGTCCCTAAAATGCTGAATCCCGCCCCCTTCCCAAAATGCGGGGACCGGTTTGGAGCCGGGCTTAAGTCACAGACGATCCTCTGACATCCCTGGCCCGATTTAGTTGGGCCTCCTCTAAACGTTGCTTAAATTTGGATTGGACCCAATAATTTGCTCGTCATTTAGATGGCCTGCTCGGTTTAAACAGATATAGGCTTGCTTGGGTAATTTTTGGGTATATCCCTTTCGACCCTTGAGAACGACCCGAAGTCTAACAAATCTATCGTTTGCTTGGAAACAAGCCCCACTGAATTTGATGGGGCTCGCCTCCAGGTATGCGCTGGCAGCCGCGGTCATTCAAAGGGGTAGGACTGTCAGTTTCAGTACAGGGGCGCAAGGTATACGTGTACTTACTTTTTGACGAGTGAGGAAAGGCATGCATGCCCCCCCCCACCGTGACTTGGATGGAGTGGGGAGAAGGGCGCACAGTGTTTTCATTCTTAAAATATTACATCTAATAGTGCATTAGATCGTGTTCTGTGGGGCTAAAAACGCAGAGCCCGGAGTCTTGGCTAGGTTTAATCGGATTACATGTGTTTCTGCCGGCTCCTCTCTCCCTATCTGCGGTGTTTAAAGCTGGCTGGTTGCCTGGCTGACTCGCCGGCGGATCTACAGTATTCCCAGCTGAGTTCTTTTTCTTGAGCCTTCGGTGTATCTCCCTGAGCAAGGTTATTTTCTCCCTCCCGCCTCCTATCGTAACTGTTGCCCCAGAAGGTTGATTGACAGGCGCGTTTCTCTTTCATTTCAGCTCCAGATGAAGATGTACTTGTTAAAGGAAAGCAGTCTATCAAGAGTCAGGCTGTAGGAAATCAGAACTCGGACAGCGAGATTCTCCTGGAAGGCGACGATGATACCTTGTCATCCGTTGAGGAGAAGGAACTGGAGAACTTAACTGGTAACATCAGCTGTCTCTTACCTCCTCCTGATGGGGCCTCCTTAGCGGTTAAGCTCCCTCTTCAGCATCATCCCCTTCTTTGCTATAAAGGGAGAGCAAGAGTAGATGCTCTATCCCATCATCATGTTAATAGGGATAATTTTCTTGTATTAAAATGTGGAGTTCCCTCCATCTGTAATAAATGGAGGAACCTTCATATTTGGAGATAGCACATGTGTACATAGACATACAGGGCTTCTGTATGTGTCTACTATTTAGGGGGCTGAGGAAGCTTCTCCCACTTTTTTCTTTCAACCGACCCTAGTGGTCCAGCAGGCTAGGACTGTCTATCAGTCTGGCAAAGTCAAATGTAAGGGTTTATAAATTTATAAACGCAGAAGCCATTCTGTGATCAGGCTAATGCTCTTAAAACATGTGGTGTATGTAGCAACTACTTCTTTTTTTGTAACAAAACTTTTGTTTTTATTTATATTTACTGAAAATTGAGTGTTTTTATTTGTCTGGTTTGTGCTAAAAATGGACATCATGTTACATCTCCCATCTTTATACATTTTATATAAATCTCACCATTCCTGTATGCTACAACCACAGATCTGAGAGCATTTTATCTTTCAATTTAATAAAACTTTTGGTCCATCAGCATGCCCTCAAATGAAGACTGTCACTTGTTTAAATTCTATTTCACTGGAAACAGCAGAAGAAAAAGTGTTCATTGTGATTTACGCAAAGAAACTTAAAATCTTATTGAAGTTCATTATGCACGGCACCATCTCTTTGGCACCTTATAATAAAAACCAAACGTGAAAATATAGTCTAATGTCAAAGCAATATACCAGTCAGTAAAACGGCAACATTATTTAGAGAGGCTCTTGTTGAAAAACCCCTTCAATAGACCTGCAGGAGACTCCAGTCCACGTCTTTCCTATCCCCCCCACCTCTTTCTACATTTGTTGCTTCTGCTAATGCATTCATACTGTAATAGAGGTGAAAGGGGAGTTTAATTATATAATCTTGACAATGGCAATAGGATTAAGAAGTAATCCTTGCTAATAAAGTAGTATGGGTTAGAAATGAAGTTGAAATTGTCAGGGGTTTTCAGCAGGACCTGAGCTGTCCTAGCTCTTGCAGCTGTCTGCTTGCCTTGTAATTGAATGTCTGAAAGTGATTGAAAAAATGTTATTTCTTCCCTGCATTACATGCTAATGTACAGAGGGCAAAGGGAGACAGCAAAAGAACACATAGCTGCTTATTTCATCCATTTGTGGGAATGAGCTTTGGGAAATCACGGCAGTAGTGCAGCTATCAGATGCCCATCTGCAAACACAATGTACGTGTACACTGGGAATAGAGGGCAAAGCTGTTCTGATCTCAGCAGAGCATCTCCTCTATTGTCCTACTGGCACACATTGAGATTGATGCAAGATTAAAGACCATCACACCTCCTAACAATTGACAGAAATGACAATTCATCAGAATTTTTTTGGGGGGGGCAGTTATTCACCCATTGATTACCTAAGCGTATGTGCACCTCATTTATACACACTTTATTAATACAAAAGGGTTATGTGTCACATATGCAGTTTTACAGTATTTCTAAACAAAGGCCAGCAGCTGATAAAGGCACCCTTTGTTGGCATCAGTGTTCTCTGCTTTTTAATCAGTCAGATGCCAAATATAACCCACTTCTCTTTTCTGGGCCTGCATATTGTTAGATCTGTGCCCAGTCTATTGTTTTGAGTAGTACACTGATCTGTCTCTGTGATAAGCCCTGCGGAGATGGGATTATTCCAATAAAAATTCATTCATTTGGAAACCAGTGCTCCAGCTGTTTACTCCCACAGTCCCTGAGCTGCACTAATACTGCAGATTCTTTGGAAAAACACTGAACAGGCGGATGGAACCAACATTTCAAATAGTATACTTCTCAATCTCTTAACAGTGGGTAATACTTAATTTTTGAACAATTGTTTTTTGGGCAGGTGGCCAGACATGAAAATAAAAATCTGTGTATGGAATTCTTAGACAACTCTCCAAATAGACGAATAATCAGGACATTGTGGGCCGGACTGGATCTCAGCATGCACAAGCGAAACTAATGTTTCCCATCCAGCCTTCCTTTCTTCAATTTGCTTTATTGTTTTGAGCATAAGGTTTGGTTCTGAAGTGTTTCAGAACTTCTACACAAAGAAGAGCCACCTAGATGGGCATATATAATCAGCAGCATTACTTTCAGCTGTAGTTCAAATACTTGGCAACACGGCAAATGCATTACATGTGTACTTCAGGGGTGAGTTAAGAAAAAAAAATCATTCGTAAAGCCAGTTTTTTTTCCTATTAAGTTCTTCAAATAATGGAAGTAAATAAAAGAAGTCATATATGTTTATATTTGTGACATATTTTGTGCTCTCTGTTCAGAGCATTCAAAACAAGGTGTTGGGTTGTCTATCTTTTTTCCTTTTGATAGGTCCCGTGAGTCTGTCTACAGCAGCACAGCTTGTGGCTCCCTGTGTAGTAGTGAAGGGAACACTTTCCATTACCGCCTCTGAACTGTATTTTGAAGTAGATGAAGAAGAGCCCAGTTTTAAGAAAATTGACCCCAAGGTAAGAGATTTTTCATCCCTCTCATGCACTAACCCAGGTGAAAAATTACAAGAAGCCTTTAATTTTCATCCAGTCCCTTTGAAAATCTACTGGATGCAAGTTTTCCTATATATGTGTGGGTTTGCAGTTTGTAGAGCTTTCTTACAGGTAACACACATGTAAGTATGAGAAAAAATACGTCATTTTAGTTTTACTACTAAATTGCCTTGTAGAGCAGAATCTTCCAGAGAGGTAGCTTAAATACAGTTACTTCAGAACAAGAGGACGAGTGAGTAAGAATTTAGCAGTGCTGTTTGTTAAAGCCTATTTCACTTTGTTTCCTCTCCTATTTGATGCTATAATAGGACATTAGTTATACTTTTGCTGATTTCCTGTTTTTTAAAAACACTGTATCAGAATTCAGTCAGAACTCTGTTCATGTTTACTGAGAAAACATAATTCTAATTTGGCAATGCATATACTTTATGAATTTATTTATATATTTAGCTGGGAAATCCAAATATGACTTCTCCAGATAAATGCATTCATTTAAATGGCAGCAATATGGTAATACAGCAATCTCACAATGTAGAATCATTACTACAAGGAAAATCTAAACCTGTATTCTCCATAATAGTGAAATATGATTACTAAGTGTGTGTTCTTATAGCATTCTAATACAGAAATTTGCTTATTTCTGAATTTTACTGGAAGAATTAATTGCTAAAATATACAGCTTTTTAAGGGGGAAAGAGAACAAAAGTGAAAGACAGAAGTAATGTAATTATTTGCTCTATCACTTCAGTTTTATTGTCTTTCATGAATAAATGTTTTTTTCAAAAATGAATAGATTTTTGTCTTTAAAAAGTGGCTGTAAGTTTTTACACTTTATATTTTTTACTTTAAAGTTTTTTCCCTTCAGTAACAGGTGTTAGTTAAAACTGACATTATTTGAAGTACCTCAGCTTTTCAAATAAATAATGTGCAAGTGAGGAATTTTAAGCTGTTGAATAAATCCCTTTTTTGCATATGACATTATTTTGAGACCAATTAATATTAAAAGTAAACTACAGTAAAGTAAAGCTATTAATAAGAGGTGATGGACTTGATATGAACTGTTGTGGCTTGGTTCACTGCAGCATTAGAGACTTCAGTACATATTAACATCAAAAAATGTGGCTGTCTGGTTCTTGCACATCACAAAGGATCTCCCCCCTCAAGTATTTCTTTTCCATAAAAAAAAAGGACAAGTAGCAAGACAATGCATAAAAAGTAGGCAGCTATATTAATTTAATATAGAAGATGGAAAGCTTTTTGAGAGAGGCTAAGAACAAGCAATTGGTTTCCTTTAATGAAAACTTTCTGAACTATTGTTATTTTGCTTATGAAGTAATGTGTTAACACAACCTAATTATCTTACAAGTACTGGCATTTTCCCATGTTCTTTCCCTCTTCTTTCTCTGGGCAGCTAGAAGCTTCAGTAGCAACATGGCCCCTTTCAGTATCAATCTTGCAGTTGTTTAAATCTCTGTTTAATTAATAGAACTCCTTTTGATACATTCAACTTCTCTGTGTGTTTTTCTAAACTCCTGGAAAAGAAAATATTGTGACAAGATTTTGAAGTAAAACCTGTACTGGGCATAGCCTAGCATCCCTGATAACATCAAAGTTTATATTCCTACTGCTAGACTGTTTTCAACAAGGAAGCTGTAGTCCTGTGAGTTCAGCAGCTCTCCTTAAATCAGAGTGGAGAAGGGGAGGGCAAGATCTGGCTTCATTCTGGGCCCTTTCCAGGCCAGATCATTCCAAAAGTAAACTCATTCCAGTATTAATCCATACCGGTTAATGAAGAACAATAAATGAGTAATTATGCTAAGAGATACATTTATATATAGGTTAAAAAAGGAAGTAATAGTGCTTATGTGGTAGAATCTCAACCACATCGCAGGACTTTGCCTTTTAGACTAGTTTGGTGTGTTTATACTTCTGATGAATAAATGTCCCCCAAAGTTTTAAAAACACCTAGGATTCCTCCCATTAAAAACGAAAGTAGTATTTTTTTTTAAACGGCAACAACCATGCTGCGTAAGACGGCAGCCTTGTCTGTGCTTACCTGAGAGTAAGCTCCAGTGAAATCAGTGTTACCTACTACCAAGTATGTATGCATTGGATCAGGGTGGACTTGACGGAAAAAATGTGTTAAAAATGGCCCAACCCTACATCGTGTTGCATTTTCTTAACGTGATAGATCGTCTGTAAAAATCGCAAGGTTTTTTGTTTTAATAAACAAATAACATGCATCTGTCTTTTCAGAAGGGCAGAAATCAGTTGAAGTGCTTTTTAAAAATACATTGCCAGATACTGCTATTTAAATATGAAAATGGGTGGCTGTCAGCCTTCAAATGTAATCCTAACAAAACCAAAACCAAGTCCTTCTGGGATGTGTATCCCTTGTTTAGTTCAAGCGCCCATCCGCCCCTAGGCAGGCTGTGTTTAAAAGTCAAAGGAACCTAACGTTTTCGTAAAAACAAAAGGGAAGTTTTAGGAAATTTATTACTCGGAGTAAATCCATGTGGCTTTAGAATTCAAAGCCTTTTTGGACTTGGTTGTTTTACTCAAGCTGTGGTAAAATGGAAACAACCCACTTGGGCCAACGAAGAGGCAAACTAAGAGACAGACAGATTTGCTCTCTCCTTGTAGCAGGAAGCAGATCAACTGGTATGTTGGCCCCCAAACCTGATCGAACGGCTAATTCCGGGTAAATTTATATTTAAGGCTTCCGAGATGTTTTTTAAAAAAACAAAACTTCTCTCTCCAGTATCTGCATGTTTAGTTTAATCGCAAATAAAAAAGGTTCAGATTACGAGTTCTTTAAAACTCGTGCTATTTTGTTCCATTGCCATTTTTAACACAGTGCTTTTCTTGCAAAACTCTCTCTTTAACTGCCCGATTTTCAGAACAAATACACACCAAGGCAATATAAAGTTAAAATCCTTTTTATTATTACCATCACTGTTTGCAACAAGTAGATTTAGGGAAGGGCAGGGAGGCTGGCCATATAATCTGTCATTGGCACTCGCATACATCGAACATCAGGGAACTTTTTTTTGTATCTGTGACTTTTTTGTGGCTTTTTCCTTTCTTTGCTTTTTAGAGAAAAGAAATGTCTACATACAGTTAAATAATTTTGTTTTTCACTTGGTGACAACATTCAGGCAAACGATCAAGGAAGAGAAGAATGAATGACATACACTTAATATGGGGGGAGGGAGGAAGAGAAATGAAATGAAATGTACCTCGAATTTCGCGTGGTTGCCGCGAAGTCCCATCGCTGTTTTTACTGTCTTTTTAAAAAAGTTTATTTTTCGGGGCGTGGGGGAGAGAAAGAGCCGCTTTGAGTCTTTTGTATTAGGAGGGTTCCCCTCCCCCTCTCTTTTGGATGTTTAAATAAGAGTTTGTGGCCCTTCGCAGTCTCACTGGTCTCTCCCCTCTTCCCGGGCTTTTTCCTCCTCCTCCTCCTCGTTGTTCTCGTTCTTGTTTGGTGTCCCTCTCGGTGTCTCGCCCGGGCCCCCCCTCTTCCTATAGTTTGTCGAGGCTTTTGGGGTTGGTGAGGATCTCCCGGGCGAGGCGCCAGGTCTGCTTGGCGGCGCTCTCGAGGGCCGAGTGGGGCTTGCCCTGAAAGAGGTCGAGGTTGGGCAGGAAGTAGTGCGGGCAGCGGCGGCACTGCAGGCAGGAGATGAGCTGGAGGAGGATGCCGTTGAGGCGGTCGCCCAGGCACGCCTCGTCCCAGTCGGTCTCCCGCGGGTGCTTCTCGCACTCGTAGAGCAGCAGCGTCTTCATGTGGTAGTTGTTGAGCGGCTGGCCCGGCAGCTCGAGGTGCCGGTCGCGCAGCGTCTTGAGCACCGACAGGCACTTGTTGCGGCAGCCGCCCAGCAGCAGGCGGTTCTCGGCCTCGCCGAACTGGAGCACCCAGGCGTCGCTCTCCGCCGAGCTCTGCTTGCCGGTCAGCGAGTAGCACTCCTTGGAGAGCAGGTTGAAGCCCTCGGCCTTGACCTCGGCCACCCGGTTGGGCCCCGGCCAGGGGATGTGCGGCAGCGGCCACTGCGCCGCGCTCCGCGGCCAGATCCCCGTGCACTTGAAGGCGGGCGTGATCTGCACCACGTAGCGCTCCCGGATGCGCAGCTTGACCTCGCTGGTGTCGGCGATCATCTTGACCACGTCGCGGTAGCTGCACTTATCCACGGCCTGCGCCACCAGCGTCTGGAAGCGCGAGCGGATCTTGCGCGCCGACAGGTAGCCCGAGGCGGTGATGAACTCCACCCAGAGCGACATGCTGCGCTTGCGGCCGTCGCTCAGCTTGAGGACGGCGCAGCCCGGGAGCGAGCCGTCGTCGACGAAGTTGAAGACGCCCATCTGGTTGAGGTAGAGCACCACCTCGAACTCGGTGGGCGAGATGACCTCCAGGCCCTCGTAGCGCGCGTCGATCTCGCTCAGCGAGCTGATGAAGCGGGGCTCCTGGACCTCCACCTCTTTGAGCACGTCGGAGACCACTTTGCACACCTCGCGGATGGTCTTGGCGATGGCCGCTTTGCGCGCCTGGCAGCGCTCCGTGTAGTACTTGTTCAGCTGGTACACCAGCTTGGCTTGTGCCGCGATCATGTTGGGGCACACGTCCGGGCTGTACACCGGGCTCTCGCAGTACGTTGACGGATCCAACGCCGCCGCCGCCGCGCGCGGGGGCAGATGCCGAGCCCGCTCCGCCCGATCACCACCTCCGGGGACGACGACGACGACGAGGAGCACCGACGAGGGCACCGCGAGAAGCCCGCTCCACGGCCAGCGGCCCGGGCCGAAGGGCGCAGGCGGCGGCGGCGGCGGCAGCAGCTGCGCTCTTCCTCCGGCTGCAAAGTTTGAGCGCTTTGGGTGGTTGGTTTACATTTGGAGCTGCGCGCCGCGACCAGCCTGCCCCGCTTGGAGGGCGCTTCAGTCCTTCATCCGGGAGCTCCTTCCGTCCTTCTTACTCCAGGAACTTGGCTTCCAGCTGCAAAGAGCAAACAGAGTCCAAGTAAGGCAGGCAGGGGCAGAGGTGGGCGCGGGCGGTGCCAAGAGGCAGAAGAGTCGGCTGCCTGCCTGCCTCCGTCGTCGTCTCTCCAAGCCGTAGCAGTGGGAGGGGGGTGTGCGGCAATTCCTCCTCCACCCCCGTTTTCGGGGTGGTGGTGTCGGTTTCTTTCTAGAGGCCTTGTATGAAGAACTCACCGGCGTGGAAACCTCTTCCTTTTGTCCTCCCTCCCCTCTCCTCCTTTATTCTTACTGTTATTGTTAATAATAAACACAACCCAAGGCATCTGATCTGTGGTCATTCATTTCCCCTTTTGTTCTGATTTGTTTATAGGTAAATTTGTCTTTGTCCTGAATATATTTTCTTTGAAGAGCAGGAAGAGTGCTGTGTATGTGTGTGAGAAAGAGTGAGTGAGTGTAGCTTTCCGCTTTCCAGGTTCCCCCTCCCCCCCCTCCGCCGCCGCCTCCTGTTTTCCGCTTCCTTCCCCCTCCCACCTTTGGAATTGGATGCCGCCTCTCTTGTTACTTTCCTGCGCCTCGCATCCTCTCCCGGCATGAACGTCTGGAGGTCTCTGCGTTTGCTTGTGACTCTTGTTTAGTTTATGAATGGTCCCAGGGCCTTGCTGAAGGGAGGCGGAGCTCCGGAATCCTACAATCGCGGCCCGAGCTGTCAGAGAGCTATCCAATCGCAGGGCCGGACGGAGTGCACGTTCTGCGGAGGGGCCCGCCACCATTGCCGAGGCTATGGGGGAAGGGACGAGGCGGGAGGAGACAGGCTTCAAGCACATGTACAGATTGCGCGCACGTACGTGGAAATAGACGCGGGGGAAAAGAGCT